TACAATATTTTATATATATATAAATAAAAAAAAATATTATATTATATAATAATATAATATATATATATATATATATATATATATATATATATATAATATAACACATAAAAGAAATATGTTCTTTCGTTCATTCAGATCCCCATGCTCGAGAAAGAAAATAATAGCGAAAATAAAAATTCCGTAATATTCTCGTTGAAAAATCAAGTTGGGGGATTGGCACGAGCACTTCAAGTATTTCAAGTAAGATTTCAAGATTAATTCATACATATATTCTTTTGAGAAATAAAAGAAAAATAGTCTCTCTCTCTCTCTCTCTCTCTCTTTGTCTCTCTCTCTTTCTTTCAAGCGATTAAAAAAAATAAAATCTTCGAACATTTAAAGATAAATCCTTTTTGAATTCTTTCGATAGGATTTAGGTGTAAACGTTGTTCATATAGAATCAAGAAAATCACTCAGACGTGGTTCAGAATATGAAATTCTTGTTGACGTTGAATGTGATTCTAAAAGGATGGAACAATTGATGAGAATGTTGAATCGTGAAGTTGCCGCCATTAATTTGGCACAATACGAACAAACGGGAAATATTCCTCAACATGCGCCATGTTTGTCCACTGCTACAAGTTTTGGTAAATTCAATTTGCGTTTTTTTCTTTTTATGTATGTAATATTATACTACGATTTTTTAAATTTATTTTTTTATTTTTTAAAAACAGATTACAGTGAAATCGACATGCCATGGTTCCCTCGAAAAATATCTGATCTCGATCAAGCACAAAAAGTGTTGATGTACGGATCTGATTTAGATGCCGATCATCCTGTACGTTATTAATTCAAAATAATTTTATTATCTTCAAGAGAAATAAATAAAAAATGAATTTTTTGTTGTAATCCCTTTTTTGGTTTATTCTTTATTTTTGTTATTACAGGGTTTTAAAGATCCGGTTTATCGTAAACGCAGACAAGAATTCGCTGACATCGCGAATAATTATAAACAGTAAGTTAAATTAAAAAAATATATATATATTTAATTTATATTTAATTTATATATCTTATTTAATTTTATATATATATTTTATATATATATATATATATATATATATATATATTTTTTATATTTTCATTACAAATTAAAAAAATTTACAGTGGTCAACCAATTCCTAGAATTCAATACACCCCAGAAGAAATCAGAACGTGGTAAGTGAATTTAAAGATAACTAAGAAACTAGGACAAAAAATAAATAAATTGCAAAAAAAAAAAGAGAAAAGAGATAGAAATAGTATGAATTGTTCTCTCGTTAAAGCAAAAAGTTAGAACACGTGATTTTACTCGCACGAAGCCAATCGTAGAAAAGAAAAGTAATGTAAACTTCTTCTTCTTCTTCTCATCTTCGTCTTCTTCTTTTTATTCTTCTTCTTATTTGCTTTTAGTATAGTGAGTTTGATTTTTTTTTCTTGAATAGAAGTGTTTCTTCTTTCCTTTTCTTTCACACGAACGAACGAACGAACAAACACCCACGCATATTCTTGTTCCTACCACCCCCATCCTTAATCTTACTTTATATTTCCCCTTTCCCCTTTCCTTCCCCTCGTATTCTGTTGCTGCTTCGTTTTCATCCCCTTATTCGTTGAGAAAAGCTACGTTTGGTCGTATTGAATGCACCCTTAATTGCCCTGATTTCATTTACTCCGATATACGATATACCGTTTCGATAAACTCAATGAAGCTACACAACCTATATATCTTTTAGAAAAGTATCTTTCTATCTTTAGAGAACTTTAATTTCTATTATTTAATTGAATTATCATCTTTCAGGGGTACAGTTTTCCGTGAATTACATCAACTTTATCAAAAACACGCGTGCATGGAGTATTTAGAAAATTGGCCTAAACTTGAAAAATATTGTGGATATAGGTAAACCTTTTTTTTTATTTATAATATTTAATTTTTTTTATTTATTTTTCAGTGTATATTTGTTTAATTATATATATATATTTTTTTTATTATACAGGGAAGATAACATTCCACAATTGGAGGATGTGAACATTTTCTTAAAACGTGAGTATTAATTATTCAATTAACTTTTTTTTTTATTAATATCTGTTTAATTATTTTATTTATATTATAATTTTTGTATATTTTATTATTATTTTGATTTAATTATATTTATATTATAATTATATTAATACATTAGATTGAATTTAGGATACTTTTGAATCACGCAGTTGCTAAACACTTCGATGATTTTAACACAACTCCTATAACCTCAATCTTTACAATTTTATTGCACTTTACTTACTCATAGGATATTCTAAAAGAAATTATTTTTGTTAAAAACAAAATGATTACTTCATAGAAAATATTAATTGAAAGAATTTTTAACCGATATCAAGTGCATTTGCATCAATGGCATTTTAATAAAACAAGAGTGTATTATTTTAAATATAATATATCTTTTATACAGGGTGTTAAAAAAAAGCAATTCAATATTTATATGGTAGATAGGGCACACTATGTTGCGTAAAAAAGTTCTAGTAAACATAGGTTGAAATGTCAACCATTTCCGAAATATAAACGTTTTTATTTGCTATTATCATGATTGACTTCCTACCCTAATTGCCGTTATTTACAGAAGATTTTCTACCTTTCCACCATCCATTTCTACATACGCTTGGCATCTTCTTCTTAAAGGAGTTGCGAACTCTCTCGAAAATTCCCCATTTTTGTCGAATTACTTGACAAGTATGGTGGATTCGGTTACGTAATTCTTCTACTTTGTTTATTGGCGAGGAATACACTTGGCTTTTTAAATAACCCCATAAAAAATAGTCCAAAGGGTTTAAATCGGGGGATCGAGGAGGCCATGCAACTGGTCCATCACGTTCAACCCACCTTTAACCGAACACCGTGTTTAAATGCTCTCTCACATTATGTAGAAAATGAGGTGGTGCTCCATTATGCATGTACCACATCGATAGCAAGATTTAAATGAGCCGGATTCACAAAATCGTTGGTAAAGTTTTTGAAAGAGTGTATGAGAGGGAACCCTTCGATTAAGAAATTTTTCCGCATAAAGACGTTTTGCCGCTAAAGCACTTCCATTGGCATGACCATACATAAAATGCATGTCTGCCATTTCTTCGTTTGAATAATATGCCGACATTTTAATGAAACTTCGTAACTATCTAACAGCTACAATTGCTGATCCACGACTAACCTCAAAACGCGATTTATAAACACTGAAGTAAATAACGCATGCGATGGAAGCAAGTAAATCCAATCATGATACTAGCAAACAAAAATGTTTATATCTCGGAAACGGTTGACCTTTCGACCTATGTTTACTAGAACTTTTTTACTCAACACAGTGTACCCTATCTACCATATAAATATTGAATGCTTCTTTTTTTGAACACCCTGTATAGCTTCAGATGATTTTTATTTCTAGAATATATTTGTTGTTCATGTAACTATTTACTCTAATAATACAATAATGACACGATAATGATACGTTACTAGACGATAAAAAAAAAAAACAAACGTGTTATCTACACGTACACGATAAACACATTCGACCTTCTTTATGCACTAATGGAATATGCGTAGTTTACTCGTTTCACTTATACAAAATTCATTTATTGTTCATTAACAATTGTTACGTAATATTTGTTTGTTGTTTCTCTTATGTTTTTCTTCTTTTTTATTTCAAATTCTCGTTTGACTTCATATTTTTTATTATAATTTTTTATTTATAAATGTTCTAATCATCTGAATAATATTAACAATTTTTTAAAACAATTTGTATAACATATTTTATTTTATATATATATATATATATATATATATATATATAAAATATTAATACTTTATAAATGTTATTTAATTTTTATTTTATATTAACTCAATATATAATTTTATTAGATGTTATTGTTAATTATTTATTAATTTTTTTTTTGTTAACAGGAACTACTGGATTTCAACTACGACCAGTTGCAGGATATCTTTCACCGAGAGATTTTCTTGCAGGATTGGCTTTTAGAGTTTTTCATTGTACTCAATATATCCGCCATTCTTCGGATCCATTTTATACTCCTGAACCGTAAGTTAAATTTATTTCTTATTTATACATTTAAATATATAATAATAATTGAAAGTTAATGTATAATTAAACACCTTCATCTACTTCAATGTAATAACAGTCTTTTCAAAAAATAATACATATTATATACTATGTATATATAGTTAATATATACATTGTTAACCTAACTTTTGTCTCTAAGAATGTTAAATGATTTAAAGGAAAAAAAAAAATAATTAGATTTGAAATTAGTTTCTTTTTACAGTATAGTTATCATAATGTATTTGTTCTTGGTTATAAACCGTTATATTTAATTGTTATACGAGTTATAAAGATAATTGAACAATTTTGTTTACAGTGATTGCTGTCACGAATTGTTAGGTCATATGCCATTGTTGGCAAACAAAAGTTTCGCACAATTTTCTCAAGAAATTGGTTTAGCATCCTTGGGTGCTTCGGATAACGACATCGATAAGCTTGCAACGGTAATTTAATAAATAAAAAATATAATATTCTAGGAAGAACAATTTTATAACACACTTTTAAAAATATTTTATATGTTTATTTAGCTGTACTTTTTCACGGTTGAATTTGGTCTTTGCAAACAAGACGGTTCTTATAGAGTTTATGGAGCAGGATTATTATCATCGGTTGCTGAATTGAGACACGCAGTATCTGCACCAGAAAAAACCTTTAGATTCGAACCTGAAATTACTTGTAAACAAGAATGCATTATTACAGCTTTTCAAAATGCGTATTATTATACTAACAGTATAGAAGAAGCAAAAGAAAAAATGCGGTAAGTATAAATAATTATATTTTGTTGAATTGTTTTCATTTTATCAAACCATTTTTGACCGCCATATTGAAATTCGCATCAACATCAATTTCCTATTACTAAAAAATTTCAAATAAATTATTTTTATATTTTCATATTTACAGAGCGTTCGCAAATGAAATTCAACGTCCGTTTGGTTTACGTTACAATCCTTACACGCAATCAGTAGAGGTTCTTACCGATGCACAAAAAATAACTGCAGTTGTGAGCGAGCTACGTGGCGATTTGTGCATCGTATCAAATGCATTGAAAAAAATTCACGAACAGGATGAAACCGTGGATGTTGAAAGAATAACAAATCTTTTGACTCAAGGAATAGATATTGTTCGTGACACTTCGTCATCTGATAGCGATGACACCGATAAAAGTCCTAACGCTGATGAACGTCAAACCAATTCTACGAAATAAAATTACAACTCGATACACAATTATTGAAATATAATCGAATTACGATGGGCTAGGTGTTCCGTGTGTTGTTGTATAGTTTATTAGTTATTGTTGCTGTTGTTGTTGTTGTGTAATCGTTAATTTGTCTGTAAAGTTTAATACCTCCTTCGTCCTTAAAAAAACGCATGAATTGTAGAATATTATTGGAAAAATTTCTTTTATTGATTCCAATTAAATAAAAAAAGGTTATAGAATAGAAGGATAAGAAACATTTTCTTCCTTTTGTCCCTGATAAAAAAGAAAAAGAGAATTTTGTTTGTTTAATTTTTGTATTTTTACAAATTTAAATGATTGTGCATTTGAAATATGTCGATTTTAGCGCCACGCGTTTCGACCAATCAGTATCGACAATGATTGCGCAAACGTCACATTTCCCTCCATCTAACATCGACAGTATGGCTGCACACAATTGACTAACTATAGAGGTTAATTTAAGAAAAAGAAATCATTGAATTTAAACGTTAGACAAATATTAAACATAATATTATTTGATTATAATCGATTAATCGAATATTTCGGAATGTTTGATATAAAATGTGTAAAAATGAAATATGTATATATAAATATAAAGAAAGTATTTGATTTGGGTCAAGTATTATGAAGTAACCTCTTGATCGTTAACCATACACAAATGTCATTATTTTTGATAAATTACATTTTACTTTTTTACGGTATAAAATGTTAAATTTTTTTAGTGAATTATAACTAAATATGTTACCATCTTAGAAAGGTACATTCAATCATATGTTTAAAACGATAAAATGGCGCAAATACAAAATCCGAGCGCCGATGGCCTACCAAAACATTTTGTTAGTGCAATGCGTACACTGTTTGACATAATGGATGATCAAAACACTGGTTACGTCAAATTTTCCGATATTGAAGGACGATGGCAGGACGATGGTACACAAGGTCTTCCCAAAGGAGTTTTGGATAGTTTGAAAAAAGTCACACCACCCAATGGTCTGTTATCTTTTGAAAGATTTTGCGCGGGTTTGAAAATTTGTTTGTTGCAAATCCAAACGGATGGTGATTTTAAAAAACATGATGGACAACCAAACAGACCACCATCTGCTCCAATTTTGATAACGGATAATCAAAACAAAGGACACTGGACGTCACCTAATACTGCCACAATAAGACCAAATAATGCTATATCTCAGCAACGTACTTTAAGTATGCCACAATTATTAGCCAATCGTAAAGATATTAATAATCAATTAGAACTAATTGATGGAAGAAATGGTGTTGAATCTAAGCACAGTAAAGCGTATGGTCCACCAAAACCTCCACGAACAGGTGCTGCATTAGAAGGTAGAGCGCTTAGTGCTGATAGAAATATTGATAAGTCTGAAATTCGTACGGTGCTGCAAAATTGGCAAATGGGTTTAATGATGAACGATGATAAATGTTTGGATAAACGCCAATTGCCAATGTCAAATTATCGAGCCGATGCTAGGACTACATTTTTAAGACCAACCCGCGTTTTAGGAGATGGTAAAGCGGTAGATCTACAAAATAACCAGTTAGGTTTACAACCCAAAAAACCATTAAATCGACGTAGAGAACCAAGACGACATACGTTGCAGAATGGTATTGACTACAATATGGTAAAGATATTCTCCTATAGGATTCCCAACTAAAGATGGGTGGTTGGTTTTGGTTATGCATAAATATTTCAAATAGAATCTTTAGAAAGATGTTGTATTTGCGTATTCGTCATTAAAAACATCTGCTTGCTGTACTCTGTAGTTAGGAAACAACCTGTTCTCTTTATTCAAATTAATTTCAAATTCATAATTGATAATGTATGTATTATTTTAGATGAAAAGAATGAAACAAATCGAACAAGAAAAGGATGTTTTGTTGCAAGGTTTAGCAGCAGTTGACAAAGCTAGAGAATGGTATTTAAAACAAATTTCAGCAACTCAAGAGAAAATTAAACACTTGGGACGTATGGGCTCACATGTGGTATAGTTAATCATAACTATAACATTTTTAAAAACATTGAAGTATTATTCTACGTAATTATATTGTTGTTTTGTAGGAACAGTGGACAGAAGCACAGCAGGAACGTTTAGAATTACAACGTGCAAGAATTTTAGAAGTTAACAGGCATCTTGCAGCTTTGATAAGTAGCTGGGAACGTGGTGGATTACCGTTTCATATGAATTTAGCATTTTTGACTACACCAACATCAGCACAATTACAACAAGATGTATTATCAAGACTCAAACAACAAAATCATAGATTAACTGAGGTCAATTAAATTTATAAATCACATTTAGATACATAAATCAAAAGTAATTAAAATTATTTTGTTTTATTTTTGATTAAAATAGGAAGTTAATAAAAAGAGTCAAAGAATAGCACTGCTCGAACAAGAAAAGGATAATTTAGTACGAGAATTGTATAATAGGCAAGCAGCAGGTATGGTTCAATCTCGTAGAGCAACTATGATCCACGAACAACACGACCAAACATTCATGTAAAGTACTAAACATTCATTTTATAAGATATCATAAATAATATAATTAATAATCTTTATATATTACTTTACAGAATATAATTAACCTAATTCTCATGGAAAATGATATACTTAAATAGATTAAATAATAAGTTTCAAATTAAATTATAGATCTTGAATGCAGTATCAGTGCACTTTATACAGAAATTCATCTTGCACGATTGATGTAAAGAAAAGAAAAAAAAAGAAACGTTTAAAAACAATTGCAGTTACTAATGTATAGCTTAATTATAAATCTACAGATCTGAGGTATATTTTTTTTTCTTAACATTTAATATATTAAATCCGTCCATAACATAAATATTGTTTTATCCAATAATAAATTATTGGAAGTATATATATATACTAGGGGTGTCCCGCCACGCGTTGCTGTGGCTCACGATCAGTCCGATACATACATCTTTAAGTCAACGAATTAGGGACCCTATAGGAGGGACGCGCCATGTACATTGCTAGGCTGAAAATGTGAAGGGATAACTTCCGTTGAATCGCGCAGCCATGTTTATCTTTAGTATGTATTAACGGCTTTGGTTAGTTGAATCATCGCGCGCAATCACGTGACTACACGAGTTCATGTCCCCCAGCAATGTACATGGCGCGTCCCTCCTATAGGGTCCCTAAACGAATTAGGGATTCTATAGGAGGGATGCGCCATGTACATTGCTGGGGGACCGGAACTCGATTTTGCGCGCGAATGATTCAAACATTGAAATAATTA